CGCTAAGGCAGGCTCCCTGCCTACTCCGGCCCCGCGCCACTCCCGGAAGGAGCCAATGCGCCCCTGCGGCTGCTGGGGAGTGGGGTACGTGGCTCAGTGTGCTGCCCTTCTCTGCAAGCACCGCCCCCGCAGCTCCTATTGGCCACAGCTCCGCATTCCCAGCCAATGGGAGCTGCGGGGACTGTGCTTGCAGGCAGAAGTAGTGCACGGAGGAAGACCCCTCCCCACTGCGGGGCTGCACTGGCCGCTTCCAGGAGCCCCGCTGCACTACCGGAGATCGCAATAGACTGGGAGATCATCTAGGATCGAGTTGGTGACCATCATCATCTAGTTGGTGACCACTGCTCTATATTCTGACTGGTGAATGGTGTTTCAGTCAGCAGCATGTTTCATTTTATCACTGCAAAATAGAGGTTATACACTGCTTTATTTCCTTTTTTACATGCTGATTCAATAAATTAAAACATGTATCCTAATACTAGAAGGTCAAACCTTAGATTTAACATCTTAGAAGTTAACATATTTTAGAGGTTATAATGAATATTAATGATATAAATGTAAAAACACAAACATGGGCCTATATAGTACACTGATTTTAGAAAGAGACCCTTTCTTGGTTATTTTCAGTTACAAGACTATTTCACTCTGGCTGCATAGTTGTGGTTTTTTTGGTTTTTGTTTTAAATCCACTCAAGCATAATTGTTGTTAGTAGTTTACCTTTGCAGCATTATCCTTGGTTTTAACTTGACTCACATAGGGTACACAGCTGTACAGAGCTGGCTAAACATACAGCACTGGTTGGCTTTGTTTGGGGTGGTAGCCTTTTTTTTGTTTGTTTGTTTTTATTATTGACAATAGACAATTCTATCTTGTAAAAAGCAACAGAGGGTCCTGTGGCACCTGAGTTAGAGTTGTTATGGTGCGGTGCATGGTTGCTGGTGAGTCACCAGCAACCACGCACCGCACCATAACAACTCTAACTCAGGAACCAACCCATGCAACAAACCTCGATGGCAACTCTGCCCACATAACTACACCAGCAACACCATCACAGGACCTAACCAGATCAGCTACAACATCACCGGCTCATTCACCTGCATGTCCACCAATGTTATATATGCCATCATGTGCCAGCAATGCCCCTCTGCTATGTACATTGGCCAAACTGGACAGTCTCTACGCAAGAGGATAAATGGACACAAGTCAGATATCAGGAATGGCAATATACAAAAACCTGTAGGAGAACACTTCAACTTCCCTGGCCACACAATAGCAGATGTAAAGGTAGCCATCTTACTGCAAAAAATCTTCAGGACCAGACTCCAAAGAGAAACTGTTGAGCTCCAGTTCATTTGCAAATTTGACACCATCAGATCAGGATTAAACAAAGACTGTGAATGGCTTTCCAACTACAGAAGCAGTTTCTCCTCCCTTGGTGTTCACACCTCAACTGCTAGCAGAGCACCTCACCCTCCCTGATTGAACTAACCTCATTATCTCCATACTGATTTATACCTGCCTCTGGAAATTTCCATTACTTGAGTCTGATGAAGTGGGCATTCACCCACGAAAGCTTATGCTCCAATACTTCTGTTAGTCTTAAAGGTGCCACAGGACCCTCTGTTGCTTTTTACAGATTCAGACTAACACGGCTACCCCTCTGATATCTTGTAAAGCGTTTAGTCTGTTTTAGAAGTAAAGTATGTTGGAAAGGCAAAGAATAATTGAGACTTCCAGCATTCAGCATTTGCATGTATGCACCCATTTTTTTCCCCCCTCTTTATCCAAACTACAATTTAGAGAGACTGTCCTATAAGTTGTCTCTATTCATAGCTCTCTGATCACACTAGCTGTACAGGATAAAATTCCTATCATGAGAAAATATAAGGGAATAATTGCACTCATTATGTCTTTTGTACAATACAATCAGGATAGATAACAGTATCTAAGATTTTACAACTTGAAATAAGCTTGATCCTCTTAACATGACCAATTGTGGCTTCTCTCAGGTTATTTGACTCAGTGCACTCTAGTAAAGAGCCAGATCATCAGAAGGATTTGGTTATATTTTTGTGTTAGCTTATATGTTGGAGGAGCATGGGGGGAAGGGGCAAGAGGACAGGGAGCTGAGAAGGCTGGTGCTGCATTTTAAGGATAAGTACAAAGATAATAGTATCAGGGGGTAGCCGTGTTAGTCTGTATCTACAAAAACAACAAGGAGTCTGGTGGCACCTTAAAGACTAACAGATTTATTTGGGCATAAGCTTTCGTGGGTAAAAACCTCACTTCTTCGGATCCGAAGGTGCCACCAGACTACTTGTTGTTTTTACAAAGATAATGTTTATTTTCTTTGTTTTTTTTAGACAAATTGGACTGTAATTGCAAGTTTAAAAATGGTACCACCTAAATCATTTAAGAGCTAAATTGCTTGTTCTAGTCTTGCCATTTAATATGTATTACTGAGTGACATAACCAGGCTGTTCTTTAGAACTACTTCTCTTGCTCTACAAAAAACGTTAGTTATAGCCATGCTCAAATACTATTATTATAGTTGCCTTAAAATATCATAGTTCTATATTCTCTGTGTATGGTTCTTGTAGAGGAGTTTAGCAATGAAAGAAAACTAAATGAGTAGTGAATTTAGTATTTTGACACCATACATATTTATCAGTAATAGCTCTCTGAATATTTTACATGAGGAAATATTTTAATTTTTAAAGTAATTTTTGTTGAACTGTCTTTTTCCATATTTCACCAAAAGAGAGAAAAAAACGGAGTCAAAATAACTAAAATGTTAACAGAATATCAACACTTGACATTGTATTTATCTCTTTCCAGTTATTTTCAGAGTGCAGATACAGTTTTCTTAAATGTGGGGTTTTTTTTATTTATTTATTGCTTATTTCTAGTGCAGAGATATTGTGACTTCAAGACCAAAAATTTAAAATTTGTAAGCTTTTATTTTTGGAAGCCCCGTCAAAGGAGACATTTAAAATTAAACCAGGTAAAGCACTAGAAAACCTATTATTGTAGAGACCATCCTGCATTGGCAAGCAGGTAGATTAGATATCCTAATAGTTTTTTTTCAAATCTACTTTTTGGATTCTGTACAAGTATACTGTGCCTCAGCATAACCTATTTTTTGTCTTTAATCTATTTGTTTTTCGCTGGTTTATAAGTTTCTACTAGTATACCAAAAGACGCAAAATATTTATAACTTCTGGTCAGTTCTGAAACAAAACTTTTCAGTGTAAAATATTTGTAAAATTTACATAAAATGTTAAATATGAACTTGATAATGTGGAAGATAAATTTACGGTCAAACTCCTTTTATAGAAAAACTGTTTTTAAACAGAAAGATGTAAGGTGCTTATTGTGGTGCGTAAAATTGTCTTATATACTTCTTTTAAAAATAGTGTTTTCTTGGTTTCAGTGTAATTTGGAATTTATGTAAAGTATGGTATCATAACTGAGAAAGTAAAATGTATTTAGTGATGTTATTTTAACAGAATTTGAATGGCGGACTAATTTTGAGTCTTGTTTAATCCTTTTCAGATCTTAGTCACAGTAGTTTGGGAGACCATTATGAAAATTCCCACTGGGGACAGCAGCCCACTTTCAGAAGTGAAGCCAACTGCAGCTGGGATAAAGTGATAATAGACAGGACTGACAAGGAAGCGTGGCCTTCCATTACAGGAACTGAGACTGAATCTGCTTCAGAATGTACTACAGAAACTGACTCTGCCTCCAACTGTGGCTCAGAGAACAGTAGCATGGCTACAGGGAGTGCCCAAGGCAACTTCACTGGACATACAAAGAAAACTAATGGCAATAATGGCACCAATGGAGCACTCATCCAAAGCACTTCTAACCAGAGTGCCCTTGGAGCTGGTGGAGCAAATGGTAATGGAAACTCAGCCAGAGTATGGGGTGTGGCCACAGGCTCCAACTCTGGCCTAGCTCACTGCTCTGCCAGTGGTGGGGATGGAAAGATGGACAACATGATTGCAGATGGTAGAAGTCAAAACTGCTGGGGTGCTTCCAACTCAAATGCTGGCATTAATCTTAACCTTAACCCTAATGCCAATCCAGCTGCCTGGCCTGTACTCGGACATGAAGGAACTGTGGGAGCAGGCAACCCTTCCAGTATTTGTAGTCCAGTCAGTGCCATAGGTCAGAATATGGGCAACCAGAATGGTAACCCAACAGGCACCTTAGGTGCTTGGGGAAACTTGCTGCCGCAAGAGAGCACAGAACCACAAACGTCCACTTCTCAGAATGTGTCTTTCAGCGTACAACCTCAGAACCTTAACACTGATGGACCAAATAACACTAACCCCATGAACTCTTCACCAAACCCTATCAATGCAATGCAGACTAATGGACTGCCAAACTGGGGGATGGCTGTTGGTATGGGGGCCATCATCTCGCCCCACCTGCAAGGCCTTCCTGGTGCTAATGGAACATCAGTTTCTCAAGTCAGTGGGGGCAATGGTGAAGGAATGGGTAGTTCAGTATGGGGAATATCCCCAGGTAATCCTGCCACAGGAAACAGCAATTCTGGGTTCAGTCAGGGGAATGGAGACACTGTGAACTCAGCATTAAGTGCTAAACAGAATGGATCCAGCAGTGCTGTGCAAAAGGAAGGAAATGGAGCAAGTGCATGGGATTCAGGACCTCCTGCTGGTCCTGGGGTACTAGCATGGGGCAGGGGCAGTGGCAACAGTAGTGTTGGTAGCATGCATTCTGGAGCTTGGGGCCACCCCAACCGTAACACCAGTAATGGTGTTAATGGTGAATGGGGCAAGCCCCCAAATCAGCATTCCAATAGTGACATCAGTGGTAAAGGATCAGCAGGGTGGGATAGCCCTAGTGTTACCAGCCAGAATCCTGCCATGCAGCAGGACAATGAACAAATAAACTCTTGGGCCAAAGCTGCAGCATCTGTCACCACAGCTAGTGAAGAAAGTAATGACAGTGGTGGAGGTCAAAATGAGGGCAACACTGGGAGAGAAGGAGCAGGAGAGGCCAGAAGGAGAGACAAAGGGGTGATAGACCAAGGGCAAGTCCAGTTGCCAAGGAATGACCTTGACCCAAGAGTCCTGTCCAATACTGGTTGGGGACAGACTCCTGTAAAGCAAAACACTGCCTGGGAATTTGAAGAATCCCCAAGGTCTGAACGAAAGAATGACAATGGAACGGAGGCCTGGGGTTGTACAGCTTCTCAGTCTTCAAACTCAGGGGGGAAGAATGATGGGTCCATCATGAACAGTACAAATACCTCTTCAGTATCTGGGTGGGTCAACTCTCCACCCTCAGCTGTTCCAACAAATACAGGTTGGGGAGACAACAACAACAAAGCGCCAAACGGCCCAGGGGGATGGGGAGAATCAGCTAGCTCTACTGCTGTCAATGCTGCTGCTGCTGCTACTGCTGCCAAAAGTGGCCACGCTTGGAGTGGGACCGCAAATCAGGAGGACAAATCACCTACATGGGGTGAACCTCAGAAACCCAAATCTCAAAATTGGGGAGATGGACAGAAATCAAATCCAGGCTGGACTTCAGGAGGTGGAGATTGGACTGAGTCATCATCTGTACCTGGACACTTGGCTGAGGGGAAGAAGAATGGATCTGGATGGGATGCTGACAATAGATCAGGGTCAGGTTGGAATGATACTACAAGGTCTGGGACCAGTGGATGGGGAAATGGCACAAACACCAAGGCTAATACAGGTACAAGTTGGGGAGAATCTCTAAAACCTAGCCCTCAACAGAATTGGGCTAGTAAACCCCAGGACAACAGTGTGAGTAACTGGGGAGGAGCAGCTTCTGTTAAACAGACTGGATCAGGATGGGTTGGTGGGCCAGTGCCACCCAAACAAAAAGATAGCAGTGAGGCAACTGGCTGGGAAGAGCCTTCTCCACCATCCATTCGCCGTAAGATGGAAATTGATGATGGTACCTCAGCTTGGGGCGATCCAAACTACAACAACAACAAGACTGTAAACATGTGGGATAGAAACAACCCTGTAATTCAGAGCAGTACCACAACCAACACCACCACTACTACCACCATTATCAACACAAATATGGTTGAACCTCAGCCATCGCACCAGTCAAGTGCCCAGCCGAACCGGTCCCCGCTGCTTGGTCCAGGTATGGAACAAGTTTCATTTTCTTTTTAAGACAGAAGTAGGATACAATGGAAATAAACCTTTTATTACACACGCACAAACACACACACACACACACACACACATTATATCTCTGTCTTTTAAGACATGCATACACGTTATAATAATGGGGAGTGATTTCAAATGTTTTTAATTAATGTGAATAATAGTAGGAAATGCCAAACAGATCTCATTTTATAATTTATTTAAATATAGTGTGATTTAAGAATTTGTTCAGTTTTTCAGGTAAGTTTTTAAAAAAACGTTTAGGATAATACAATTGTATGGGTTGTCTTTACTAAAATAAAATAAAAAATATTACATTCTCACCTGTAGAACCCCCAGTTGATGTGGTTTTCCACCTGGAAAACTTCTGATCTGAGGGAAACAACGAGGAGTCCGGTGGCACCTTAAAGCCTAACAGATTTATTAGGGCATAAGCTTTTGTTGGTAAAAAACCCACTTCGGATGCATGGAGTGATGATAAATCTGTTAGTCTTTAAGGTGCCACCGGGCTCCTCGTTGTTTTTGTGGATACTGACTAACACGGCTACACCTATGATACCTGATCTGAGGGAAGCTCTGTAAAATTCATGAATAGGTCAGCAGGATCCAGGAATGAAAAGAAACTGATGTGGGGAAGAGGATCCTTCAATAAATCATTATGGCAGGATCTGCTGTCATAGCTGCACTCAGCATTGCATCGGGTTCAGCAGGCCAGTTGAGGCCTTTTAAGCTAAGAAGGCAAGGGGGAATGGAATGTCTAAAGAGTCTGCACTCATTTGTCTACGCTGGTTGTCTGCTGCACAGGAAAAGCATCTGGAAAGTGAGGTGGAGGATTCAGCTGGCACAACCCATAAAAATGTAGATATGTTCTCACTCAGAAATTGACTCCAGCCCAGCAATACTTATGCTAACCACTGTTTCATCCTCTGTGGGTTGGGATAGACATTAGCTTAGACGTAGAGAAAGGGATTGAAACTATAGCTACAGAGCCTATTAAAGTTTATTAGATATTTCATTTTTATATGTACAGTGTTGTAATGTTTGTAGTGTCCTTAATATTTTTTTAGTTGCTAGATTTATAGAACATTAGTGTCTTAAGTATTATAAACAAAAATTATGCTGTGTACATTGACTAGTAGTAGTGATTACCCTTTGATGTCGGACATATTTGGCATAGAGTAGTAATTAGCAATAAGTAGTATTTTTTGTTAACTGTTTTGTACCTGGAATCAGATTTTCCTTGAGAATAAGCATAAAGATCGAGAAAGTGAGCCTTTTGCATCATGAACTCTAGACCATAGGCAGGAATCCAGCAAGTATTGATTTTAATTGCTCCATAACTGGGCAAAAGAGTTTATAATCTTGCACTCTTTGTACTTGTTAACAGGTGTAGTCTGCCTTTTTATTAATTAAGGCAGTGTATTTGCAGATTTACCAAATCACGTGTCCCACATGTTTTAGGGTAAGGGATTTCTCTTCAATCCCCGGCTCTTAAAATCACACTTAGACTACTCTCAATTGGGAAGTTGCCTTTTTATTGGTCTGCTGCTGAATTCAGAAATTTAATTAGGGAGGCTAGTATTCTCAGTTTTCTACCTTTTTTTTAAAGGAAACCAAGATGCAACAGCTGAAAACCTAGATTATTCAGCTGTCCCTATGCCTACACTAGCTCTAGTCTGCCCTGCTGTGTCACTATTTCAGGAGAAAGACTGGAGTCTTCAGTGTCTTATTTTATATCAACGCAGTTCCCCACTTCGTCTCCCTAAGAAGAAAAGAACATTGTTCACTCGCCATGGTTCCATTGTTCACTCGCCATGGTTCCAGTAACTCTCTCAAATAAATCCCCAAACTTAATTCAGTTTTCCTTAAATGAAACAATATTTTATTGGTAGTGCAAAGAAAGGGAGATGGGACATAAACTTACCTTAAGAGCATTCACCTCTGTACAAATATTACAGAAAGCTCTCTAGTTGAAGTTTAGTTGCAGATTTTTTGAAATGCTATCAGTATTTATAGCATGGCAGAAAATGACTCCCACAACCTGCAGCTCTGTTATCTTGATGTCCTGGTTAGATACCCTTAGTATTTGACAGTGGGAAAAGCCCCCACCTTTCTTTGTTCTGCTTTTGAAATCCAAGCATCAAAAATCTCATTTATAATTCTTCCTGGGCCTGACATGGAAGTAATCTTTTCTTTAGCATCTTAGCTACCATTTTGTTTTTCAAACAATGCTCAGTTAACATATCTGAGACTAGCTTGAACTAGGTTCTGATAGCCAATTTGGAAAGCTGTGCATCCAGAGTACGATTTACTCAGATACAAAATATGAATTAGAAATTTAGATATCCAATAGAATTAAAATTGGGCCAGTAGTCCTTACTTATCTCCCAGTGTTTGTGATAAAGGAAGAATACTTTTCTACAAGTTAAGAAGTTCAGAGGAATTTTGCTGACTAGCAGAATGAATATAAGAAAAGCTTCTCAAAAATGTCAGGTTAGCTATTGATTACATTCTTAAGCTTGTTAATTTTTTCAAACTTTCAGTGGGTGGGAAGGTACCATGTTGTAACTCCTTTTCATAATTGTCACCGTCCTTACTAATCTCATCCTTACAGTCACAGCAGGAACAAAGAAGAGGCAAGAGGAATTATAGAGGGAAAATTTAATAAATATCTTAGATATCTGTATACTAATGCAAGAACTATGGGCAATAAACAGGAAGAACTAGAAATACTAGTGAATAGTCACAATTTTGACATAATTGGCATCACAAACTTGGTGGGATAATTCACATGACTGGGATATTGATACAGAAAGGTATAGCTAGTTCAGGAAGGACAGGCAGGGAGAAAAGGGAGGAGGTGTTGCCTTGTGTATCAAAGTTGAATAAGTTTGCACTGAGGTTGAGATAGCGGGAGGCAGACCTGTTGAAAGTCTCTGAGTAAGGCTAAAAGGCGTAAAAAAACGGGGGTGATGTCATGATACATGTCTACTATAGATCACCTAACCAGGAAGAAGAGGTCGATGAGGCTTTTTTAAATAACTAACAAAATCATCCAAAACATGGGATTTGGTGGTGATGGGCAACTTAACTACCCAGACATCTGTTGGGGAAATAATACAGCAGGTCGCAGATTATCCGACAAATTCTTGGAATGCATTGGATACAACTTTTATTACAGAAGGTGGAGAAAGTGACTAGGGAAGATGCTATTTTAGGTACGATTCAAACAAATAGGGAGGAACTAGTTGAGAATTTTGAAGGTGAAAGGCAGCTTTGGTGAAAGTGTTCATGAAATGATAGAATTCATGATTTTAAGGATTGGTATGTGGGAAAACAGCAGAATACAGACCGTGGACTTCAAGAAGGCAGATTTCCGCAAACTCAGAGAATTGGTAGGTAAGATCCCATGGGAAGTAAGTCTAAGGGAAAAGAGAGTTCAGAAGAGTTGATAGTTTTTTAAAGAAACATTATTAAGAGCACAAGAGCAAACTGTCTCTCTGTGTGTGTGTGTGTGTGTGTGTGTGTGTGTATGTATGTATGTATATATGGTAACGGCACAAAATTAGAAAGTCCAAGGCAGAACCAAGATTAAACTAGCTAGGGATATAAAGGGTAACAAGAAAACATTTTACAAATGCATTTGAAATAAGAGGAAGACCAAGGACAGGGTAAGCCCATTACTCAATGAAGAAGAAAACACAATAACAGAAAATGCAGCAATGGCCACAGTTCTAAATGCCATTTTTGTTTGTTTTCACCAAAAAAGTTAGCAGTGATTGGACAACTGACAAAGCAAACATCAGTGTAAATGGGGTAGAATCAGGCTAAAATAGGAAAAGAACAAGTCAAATATTACTTAGACAAGTAAGATATCTTCAGATCGGCAGGGCCTGATGAAATACATCCTAGAATACTTAAGGAACTGGCTGAATAGATCTCTGAGCCATTAGTGATTATCTTTGAGAACTTGTGGAGGACAGGAGAGATACCTGAGGACTGAAAAAGGGCAAATATAGTACCTATCTAGAAAAAGGTGAATAAGGACAACCCAGAGAATTATAGACCAGTCAGCTTAACTTTGGTACCCTGAAAGATAAAGGAACAAATAATCGAGCCATCATTTTGTAAGCTCCTAGAAGAAAATAAGGTGATAAGTAATAGTCAACATGGATTGGTCAAGAACAAATAATGTCAAACCAAGCTAATGCCCTAATAGCCTTCTTTGACTGGGTAACAAGCCTTGTAGATTGGGGTGAAGCAGATGTGATACATCTTGACTTTAGTAAGGCTTTTGATACTGTCTCACAAGACCTTCTCATAAACAAACTAGGAAATATTGCCTAGAGGAACCTACTATAAAATGGGTGCAAGTGGGATCCTGTATGGATCTGTTCTGTTCAATATCTTCATATATGATTTGGATAACGGCATAGAGAGTACCCTTACAAAGTTTCTGGACAGTGCCACACTGGGAGGGGTTGCAAGCATTTTGGAGGACAGGATTAGAATTCAAAATGATCTTGAAAAATTGGAGAAATGGTCTGAAATGAATGGTCTAAAATTCAATATGGACAAATGCAAAGTTCTTCATTTGGAAAGGAATAATCAATTGCACAAATACACTGCAGAAAAGGTTCTGGAGATTATAGTGGATCACAAACTAAATAGGAGTCAATATTGTTGCAAAAAAAGCAAACATCATTCTGGGATGTATTAGCAGGAGTGTTGCAAGCAAAACACGAGAAGTAATTCTTCCACTCAACACTGATAAGGCCTCGACTGGAGTACTGTTTCCAGTTCTGGGCACCACATGTTTGGAAAGATGTGGACAAATTCGAGAAAGTTCAGAGGAGAACAACAAAAATGATTAAATGTCTAGAAAACATGACCTTTGAGGGAAGATGGGGAAAAATTGGTTTTGTTTTGTCTGGAGAAGAGAAGACTGAGATGGAACATAACAGTCTGCAAATGTATGTAAAGAGGAGGGTGATAAATTGTTCTCC